CATCTTATACCCAGGACAAAATTCCTGGCTGGCCCCAGGCAGGATGGTCCGTCTACACACAACCACGAGGTTGGACAGTTGGGTATCTGCCAACTTGCTGTGGTGGTACTGTTTATGATTCGCCTGCTCCTAGAAGCTGGCTTCTTTCGGCTCCAGGCAGCGGCCACCCCACCCTGCAGGGGTTGAGGTGAGGAGTTCTGTCTGGAACATCTCCCTTCTTCCTGCTCTGCCATAGATAAGGGCTTTATAAACAAGTCACCAAAACAAAACAAAATGACAGGGGTGGGCATTTGGCCAGGCTAGCAGACAGCCACCGCAGGAGCTGCTGAGGGTCCCCATGACTGACAAGGATTTCCAGGGAGTCGCCGCTTCCTGTTCTCCACCCGCAAGTGAAGCCCCAGAAACCACAGCTCGGAGTACATCCTTCCTGACTCTGAAAAGAAAATGCCTCCCCGCTTCACTCTGAAGCCAAGAATCCCGGCAGGAACGCCTCTCTCAAAGCACATGTGTGAGGCGACTGTGTTTTTTTTTTTTTTTTTAAAAGATTTAGTTTTATTGGAAAGGCAGATATACAGAGAGGAGAGACAGAGAGGAAGATCTTCCGTCCGATGATTCACTCCCCAAGTGAGTGCAATGGCCGATGCTATGCCGATCCGAAGCCAGAACCCTCTTCCTCCCAAAGCTTTGGGCCGTCCTCGACTGCTTTCCCAGGCCACAGCAAGGCTGCCGGGATTAGAACCGGCGCCCATCTGGGATCCCAGGGTGTGCAAGGCGAGGACCTTAACCACTGCGCCATCACGCCGGGCCCCAAGGCGCCTGTGTTTTTGCAACTGCAGAGATGGTACCAAGGAAACCCTGGACACCCTCAGAAGGAAAGAGCTACGCTCCTACCAAAAATGAGGCAAGCAAGTATAGAACAGTTTTTGTTGAAAGAGTTACAGAAAGAGTAGGAAAGACAGAGATGGAGCTGGGCTGGTCCAAAAGCAGGAGCTACTTCTGGGTCTTCCATGTGGGCCCAAGCACTTGGGCCATCCTCCTGCTGCTTGCCTAGGCCATTATCAGGGAGCTGACTCGTAAGTGGAGTAGCCAGGATTTGAACTGATGTCCATATGGGATATTAGTGCTGCAGATGGAAAAATCAGCCTGCTATGTCACCTCACTGTTCCTGTAATATATAACTTCAAAAATGTTTAATGTAGTCAGATATCTTGTCTTTCCTCTAGGACTTCCTGATTTATCATCTGCCTTACGGCCTCCCAGATTATATATTTATTTATTTTGGTCTCTTTCCATTGGCTTTAGTGTTGACATTGAGATCATTCATATAACTGGAATCTTTTTTTTTTCTACTGTGCGATCAACCGAGCCTTGCTGTTTTAGTTTTCCTTTAAATGGATAACATTTATTAAATAGGCATTCTTTGCTTATTAAATTGAAACAGCATGTGTCATAGGAAAAGTTCTTAAGACACACAAACCGCTCTGTACTCTCTGTTCTTGTCATGAATGTGTTTGTTCCTGTGTTAATAACTTGGAAAAAGTACATACATCTTCTTTCGCTCTTTTTTCCAAAAAAATTTTTTGGTTATTTCTGGATATTTGTTCTGCACAAAGCTTAAGACTTCCACTGGGTATGAATTTGGAATTATAGGGCAGACTGCCCATTTGAGCCACCTGCACCCCTTATCTGACTGCCTGGACTCCAGTGTAGGCTGTTTCCAATTCCAGCTTCCTGGATGCCTCCAGCAGAGGCCCCGCCATTCACATGGGAAACCTAGCTCATGTTCAGGCTCTTGGCACTGGGCTGCACCAGGCCTGGACTTTTGCAAGCGTTTGTGAAGTAAATCAGATAGACTGCTCTATATGTCTCTGCCTATCTGCCTTTTAAATAAATAAAAATTTACATTTGAAAATTGAGTATAATGAACAGAAACATTGCTTAGGAGGGAAAGGTATTTATATATATATTTTTTGCAGTAACATGCTGGTATGGTATAATATATATCTTATGCTTCCCAAGAAGACTTTGGAGTATTTTATATATTCTGTATATGGATCTTACACTTTCATGGTTCAATTTATAGTATAATCTATGTAGTTTTTAATTTGCATTATAAATGATTTCTACTTCTTTTGAGTGGTTATCACCATTAAAGATAGAAGGGCTGTGACTGTAGCAGAGTGGGTAAAGCCACCACTTGCAACACTGGTATCCTGGCTGCTCCACTTGTGCTCCAGGTCTCTGCTAGTGACCTGGAAAATTCAGTGGAAAACAGCCCAAGTGTTCGGTCCCTGCCACTCATGCGGGAGATTAGGAAGAAGCTCCTGGATCCTGACAGAATTTTACTACAGGAATGTAATCACTTGAGCCGTCACCTGTTGCCTCCAGGAAACTGAACCCCAGATTTGAAACAAGGGTTCCATTATGGGATGCAGGCATTTCACTGCTAAACTTAAGCTTATCTTTTGAAAATAAAATGGAAGCTCTTAAGCCTATAGTCCTCTGATAACAATTTAAGACCTAGAGATTTTAAATAAAGCTTTTTCTCCTTGCTAATGCCTAGATATTCCTGAATTTTACACATTAGGATTTAGAGCAGAGTATAAACTGTTTTTTACCAGCTGTATATTAGAAGGCATATTTGTTACAGAAAATCTATTATTAATCTAGCTTGCTGTTATTATTTACTTACTATTTTCAGTTAGCATTAAAAAACATGTAAGTAACAGAAATATCTAAAGGCTCAGTAAAAAAAAATAATCAACTGGAACGCAACAATGCAAAGATCACCACTTTTAATATTTCTCTCTTTCTCTAACATTTATTTGCAAGCCAGTATTATAGAGAGAGGAAGAAACAGAGATCTTCCACTTTCTGGTTACAACAGATGGTGGCAACAGAAAATGCTAGAGTGAGCCAAAACCAGGCACTTCATTCTGATGTCCAAGGTGGGTTTCAGGGCCCAAACACTCGCGCGGTCCTCGGCTGCTTTTCTCAAGCTCATTAGCCTGGCTTCTCACTCAGTCAAAAAAAAAGCTCTGTATCTAATCTCTTTTTGATACTGCAAGCACAGCCACAGAAGCCTCTTCTAGGCCAGCCACTGGCAGGGTCTGGTGTGTTCTGTGTTGTTCCATAGACACAATCCACCAGAGAGGATGCTCGAACATGGGCTGAGCAACTGAGGGCCAATAAGGATCCTGGATAGGCCTGGCCAAAGTCCAGCTACACTGGCTGCATAGCTCTGGGAACATCACCTCCCTCTACATCCTCGGCACAGGACCTCTCACTTGAAGACATCACGCAAGGGACACAGAACACTCCACCATACACAGGCATCCTGACACATGCAGGGAAACTGGCCTTTGGAAGCCATGCAGAGGGCTGAGAAGGCTTCACGTGGTGCCCATTAGGCTGTGAGGGCCTGAAGCCACTGGGCCACTGGCAGCTTCTCAGTGGTCCGGGTGCCAGGCACATCAGCAGGTGGCAGATTAGGAAGCCACCTCGCACCAATGGTGGCCATGGTTGCAAAGGGCAGAGCCACTGGAGGACAGGACAGTTGGGCTCAGCAGTTCTGTTTGAGGTGTTTTTCTAGTTCTTCTAGACTGGGAAAATCATGTTTGATACAGGGTTTGCCTTCTGCATTCTGCTTACTACCATTCAATTTCTATTCCTAGCCCCTGCCTCCAGGCCTGGTAATGTAAACCTCTGCAATTCACCATGAACACAGAGATGTTAACTTTAACTAAAAATCAGCAAGTCTTAAGGGTTTAAAAGCCTTTCCTTAAGAAGAAAAATAAATATGTATGTGGTAAGAGGGTTTTTTTTTTAGATTAAGGATTTGTCTTGGGGTTTTGTAGATCCATCCCAGGGCCCTATAGCAGCAGAAAAGTAAACTTGACAAAGATGTTCTAATCCTGTAGCTGGACATAAAGACTGAGTAGCTCTTATCCAAAAGGCTTGGAAGCAGGTGTTTTTCAGACTATGGATTTTTTAAGGCTTTAGAATATCTGCATAAACATGATGGGAGTGAAATTTAGTGCTGCCTGTATGCCTTATATACTCAGCCTGCAGAGAAGTTTACACAGTATGTCTAGTGCCCCTGCATTTTGACTGTGATTCATCATAGAAGGTGAAGTGTGGAATCTTCCACTTATGGTATCACAGCAGCACTCAAAAAGGTTCAGAATTTGAAGCATTTTGGATCCCAGATTTTTAAAATGGAAGGAAAGTAAATCCAGTTTATAAAAGTTTTTCAACAGAGTTAACACCAAGAAGATTTTTTAAATTAACTTACTTCAGTGAGCTAGACTAGCCAAATTCCTTTCAACCACAAAAATAATGTTTAAATGCAACACTCTCAAAAATATGTGCCTTTAAGAAGGGAAGGAGAAGCAGCAGGAAAAAAAAAAAAAGATTTTGTGTCTGAACAATCTAACAAAGTTATAAGTTCAACTTCCCATCCAGCTCCCTGCTTATGACATGAGAAAGCAGTAGAGGATGGCCCAGGCCCTGGGGCCCTTGCATCCATGTGGGAGATCAGGAAGAAACTCCTGGCTCCTGTCACCAGCCTGGCCCAGTCCCAGACATTGCAGGTGTCTGTGGCATGAACCAGTGGATGGAATATTTCTCTCTGTCTCTCCCTCACTCTCCCTGTAACTCTGCATTTCAAAACTCAGAACAAAGAATCATAACAGAATAGCCAATCTTGCCTATGTAACTCAGGAAGTCAGGAGGGCAGCTGCCCTGCTGAGGAGACGGTACCACCATTGCAACAGAACACCCAAAGGATTTCATAAGCTCCCACTACCATTGCTCAACCTCAGCACTGGCCACACAGATGTTTCCTGAAAGGCGAACTCATCAAGGTATCTGCAGACTTTTGTGCATGATGATTAAACTTCAATAAAAAGGTACTTGATGTGAAAAATGTCTGGAAAACACTGACAATCTGAATTGCTCTACCATTTATACCTTGTTTGTGAGAACATTGGGTAACTGACCTGCAAGACATACAGTATGACTGCTGCCAGGCCCAGCCAGCTGTGTAGACTGTACATATTGGGGATGCTCCCGACGTTGTGGTAATCAAACACAGCCACCAGGGCGACGATGGCCAGGATGGCGGCGATGGTGTTGAGCCCTGCGTGGATGGATTTCATCAGGAACTTGCTGCACCTCCAGGTCCATGGCAGCCGGTACACGATGATGGCTGGAGACGAGGAGAGGAGAGAATGTGTTTCTTAAACCAGCACCAAACAGTGTCAATATTGTACTCTCTCTCCTGTGACACCCTCTCTTCTAGCACCTGCTCCTATCCCTGTTCCATGTTACTCTGCAGCTCAACAGCTCCTCCTGGGGATCCTCTGTGGCCATCTCATGCCAAGGTCTGTGCCCAAAAGATGTGTGTACAAGACTCTAGAAGCACCAATTACAGTTGCCCAAATCTAGAAATTCTCCCACCAAACCCCACCATAAGCAGAAAAGAATGTAATATATCCATACCATGAAGTGACACACAGCAAACAGCATGAATGATCTGCAACCAGAACCATATTTGTGGATGCAGATCCACCCATACGGTCCAAGTGTATAAAATGCAAAAGCAGGCCAAACTTGCCTATGGAACTCGAGAAGTCAGGAGGGCGCCTGCCCTGGTGAGGAAGTGGTACTATTTATAAAGGAGTCCTGCTTTCAGCAATGAATTACAAGACTTCCTTAACCAGCAAGCAGTTATTTTTGCTCCAAAGACAATTTCCTGCTACTCTCTCCTCCTTCTTGTCCTTGTCAGGGGAAACTGAAATATTTGCAAATGTGTGGCAAATCAAAAAAGCTTAAAGAATACATCCTGGAGGACCGGCAGCAGGTTCAGTCGCCACATGAAGTGTCCACGTGCCATGCCACACTGCAGTGTCCAGTTTCAGCTACTTTGCTTCTGATGCAGTTTCCTGCTAATGCATCCTTGGAGGCAGCAGATGATAGCTCAAGTGCATGAGCACCTGCCAACCTTGTGGGAAATGCAAACGGAGTTCCAGTTTCTGGCTTGGGCCCGGCCCAGTCCTGGCTGATGGGGGTATGTGGAGTGTGAATCAGCAGGTGAAGATTTTTCTCTCCGCCATTTTATGTTTCAAATAAACAGATCCTTGGGCAGGGTGAACCTCTTTGTTGGAAAATGGATTTCAGCATATGAATAGTTATATCATGGGCATTTCTGAATTTCAGTAAGAAAAAAATAAACAGCCTTATCCCATCAAGCGCGTTTGTAATGTGAATACATAAAACTTCTCAGAATCATGAGTGTGTAAGGGATTACCTAGTCCTCATTCAGACCACAAAGAGATGTGTACTTGGCTTTTCTGAAGCTTTCCGCACAACATGCCACTCTTCTTCCTCTAACCCTCGCCAGGTTCTACATCAGGGCAGGATTCCTTCTGCTTACTCCGAGCCCTGCAGCATCACTGCTCACTGACTTCACTGCACATGTGGATATCTTAAAGATGTCCTCTTACGGGGCCCGGCGCGGTGGCGCAAGTGGTTAAAGGTCCTCGCCTTGCACGCCCGGGATCCCATATGGGCTAATCCTGGCAGCCCCGCTTCCCTTCCAGCTCCCTGCCTGTGGCCTGGGAAAGCAGTCGAGGATGGCCCAAAGCTTTGGGAACCTGCACCCGCGTGGGAGACCCGGAAGAGGCTCCTGGCTTCGGATCGGCATAGTATCGACCCGTTGCGCTCACTTGGGGAGTGAATCATCGGATGGAAGATCTTCCTCTCTGTCTCTCCTCTCTGTACATCCGCCTTTCCAACAACAAAATAATAAAAATAAATCTTTAAAAAAGATGTCCTCTTACGCAGTGTTGTCATATGCCATAGTGTTGCCAGCACTATGGCATAGTGGGTAAAGCCACAGTCTGTGGTGCTGGCATTCCATGTGGGCACCAGTTCAAGTCCCAGCTGCTCTACTTCTCCTCCAATTCACTGTTAATGCATCTGGGAAAGCAGCGGAAAATGGCCCAAGTCCTTAGACCCCTGGCTCCTGGCTTTGGACCAGCCTAGCTCCGGCTGCTGTGGCCATTGGGATAGTAAACTAGCAGATAGAAGATTTTCTCTGTAACTGCCTATCAAGTAAATAAACAACGTTTTCAAAAAAAAAATGTTGACTTACTATACTTTGAGAAATGCAGACTTCCTGGATCATTATTTTTATAGTCAAAGATTTTTTCAAAGACTTGTTTATTTAAAGAGTAGAGTGGTAGAGAGCTGTTTCTCCCTTTTATCTGCAGAGCCCAAGACAGCCCCATCTCAAAGTGCACAGCTCCATCTGCGTTTCTGCAAACTGATTTTGAGGTAACTGTAGGCTCTCATTCAGCCATAAGAAATAACACAAAGAGATCTTATCTACTTTCCACTCAGTTGTGAAAAGGAATCTGAATTCAGTATAACACAATGGGGGAACAGACCTGGACACAATGCATGGCTCTTAATCAGATCTCATCAGGTTTGTGTGTGTGTGTGTGTGTGAGAGAGAGAGAGAATCACAAATGTACTTTTTAAAAAATAAATACAAAGCACTTTCCACACACTGAATCAAAACATAGCACTCACACTGATGCAAACTTAAACTAAGGAGTTCCTTCTTCATGCTTTCCCTCGCTGTAGATTCAGTGGCACACCAGCTAATGGAACCCTGGTTTCCAGGGAAAGCACACAGCCATTTCTGCAATGACTTAGGGACCTGTTATCCACAAAGTGGGGTCTTTTCTTATCTAAGCGCAAGTCTGGTGTAGCAGTTAAAACGCTGCTTGTGCACCTGTGACTTGTCCTGCCTGGGCTTGTGGTCCTGCTCCTCTACCAGTCCAGTTTCCCCCTAAGGCACACTCTGGGGCGGGGGGGGGGGGGGAGAGGTGATGCCAAGTACCTGGGCCCCTGCCATCCACGTGGCAGACTGGGGTTCTTGGCTGCTGGCTTCTACCTGGTCCAGGCCTCACTGTTGTGGACATCTACAGATTGAATCAGCAGATGGAAATCTCTCGATCTCCGTCCTTCTCTGTGGCTTTGCATTTCAGATGGGTAAGCGGATAAAACGTATAAAAGTATGTGTATTATACAAGGACCTTGGAATGCGTCATCCTGGGTTAGCCCCACTTATCAAACATGCACACAGAGCTCCTGCTGTCAGCAGTAGGCATTGTGCTAACAGCTTTATGTTATACGCCTTAATTCTCACTTTGACTCTTTGAGGAAGTCACTTTCTTGTTCAACCCCAATTAGTATTTTAAATTAATATCCATGCTATTGTTGTCATTATTATCGTCACCACTTTCTTCATTCAAGCACGGCTGGGAGGAAGGAATCTTAGATGAGTGAACTTGAGTGTCTACATATGAAAAGGAAATAGGATGCATTTGCTGGAAAAGTCAATTATGAATACCAAATCACTCTTCCAAACTGAGCGCTATTACCTCAAAAACTTTCAAAATGAAAACCAATCCCTGCAGTTACAATCTCTCAGGGGTCAGTGAGGAACAGCGATGGAACAGGAATGAGCACGGTTACCCAAAGGACGTGGAATGTTATTTCTTGATCAGAGGACCCAGGTGTGTCCCTGCTCTGCAAACACATGGCTTATGATTTAGAGACTATTATGCACATTATTCTTCACTAAGGAGTTTCTTTTTGCAATGCATTGTCAAAAGTTCAAGACCAAATATACTCCCAGTGAAGATTTTTACTCTTCCCAATACAACCGGCATCAACAGAAGCAAGTGTTAAAGTTTCCATGCAACTGTGGCAAGTGCCTTATAGCCCTGGCATCCTATATAGGCACTGATTTAAGTCCCAGCTGCTCCATTTCTGATGTGGCTACCTGCTAATACACCTGGGAAAGCAGAAGATGGCCCAAGTCCTTGGACCCCTGTACCTGTGTGGGAAACTGAGAAGTTCCCATCTCCTGACTTCAGACAGACCCAGCTCCAACCACTGTGGCCATCTAGGGAGTGAATAGTTGATGGAAGACCTCTCTCTTTTTTTATCTTTTTAACTCTACCTTTACAAAAAAAAAAAAATTCTCATACGTCTGAAATCCATCCTTTGTCAAACCTGAAGTTAAATCTCTAACACTTACTCAAATGGTTTTCAGACAAGTTGCACACTAACATTCCTTCTGCAGCAGCAACATGAATGGAACAGATTTAATGTTTTACCAGTTATTTGGATTCATCAACAAAATATAACACCTTAAACTGTAAGAGAAAGCCCTTAGAGGTTTCAGTTGGCTTGGCCCTGACTCAAGCAGACCCAGTCAATGGTAATGTTAGAGTATCCAGACCTATTTAGAGCTTCTTTTTAGGGTAGAGAGCCTAATGCTAACATCCTTCATTCCCAACAACACCAAGTTCTGGCTTATGAATTAAAAAAAAAAAGCCCATATATTATTACCAGGTATTTGAGAGACAGGCTGACTGTCATCCACTACTTTGTTTCCCAAATGCCTGTAAAAGGAGCTGAAATTTCCCACATGGGTGGCAGGGTCCCAAGTACTTGAGCCATCACTTTTTTCCTCCCAGGATGCTTTAGTAGGAAGCTGGAATTGCAAGTGGAGCCAGAATTCCAGCCCTGGTCCCCTTTAACAGAGGATGTGGGCATCCCAAGCAACATTTTAACTGCTGTGCCAGACATCTGCCTCCTGCTTACAAGTTTCTTTGTTGCCCTCAATCTTAACATCTGCTCAATCTGGATGGCGGGTACACGGAGATCTATTAGATTTTTTTAAAGCAGTTCAAAGAGTTTATTATAAAGTTGAAACAATATTTATATAAGCTTGCAAATTCAGAAGTTTTTTCTTTTTTTAAAGTCTCAACTCCCCAATAAGTAGCTTGTGGGGAGTATGGAAGTGGGACCTCCAGCTCAGGGAATTTTCAGCCTCTGTACTGACTACAGGGAGGTTCTGTCACATAACTGGGCCTGCTTTAAACACTCTCTGCATAAATAACTGCTCACTGCAAAATGCCACGTGTGCAGAAGCTGGCGATGAGCTTTCGGAATCATAAATAACCGAACTACGGCGGACTTCAGCAGAAAAGGGCGAGCGACAAATCAAACCACGTTTCTGACTCAAGCAGTGATTCTCAACGGTTACAAAACTGCCTGGAGAGCAGAATCCCAACTTTGCTGGCTTCCTGGGTTTGGCACCTACCTAAAAACCCTTCTTCTTGAGGA